ATTGAGTATTTTTTTTAGAAGATAACATTGTAAAAATAAGTTTGTAACAAAAGTAAAATGATCAAATAATTTTAAGTGCCTATATATTATTGTTTGAAATTTGTTGTTTATATATTTAAAATTTTATATAAATTGCTTTTGTTTTGAAAAAGTTATACATATTTATATTATATAAATAATATTCCAAAATTTTTTGCACTATACTGTAATAATAATAATTAAATAAAACTTATCAAGTTAAAAAAAAAATCAGAAGTATAACTTATAAAATATTGAAACTATTTAAAAAATTTTTTAATTTATTTTAATAAAAGTTTTAAAATTAATTTTTAATAAAAAATTTTGATTTTTTATGGTACTATTTGAAATTATTTTTTTTAAATTGTTTATATTATTATTTATAAAAATTCAAAAATAGAAACATATTGTTATATATTGTTTCTATTTTTAAAAAAAAGCAAAGATAATAAATGAATAACAAAAAATATAAATTTAAAATATATAAAATTAAAATAGTTTAAAAATAAATAAAATAAAATAAAAATTATTGAAAAAATTTTAATACTAAAATATTTTATTAATAAATAAAAATTTAATTTTTTAATTTTAGTAAATCTATTAATAATATTGTTTTAATATTTAAGGAAAAAAATTATTAAAACTTTATCTAATGATTTTTTTGTTAATACAAAAAACAGATATTCTAAAGAAATTATATATTTTTTTGTAATAAAGTTTATATACTTTTTTTAACAACACTAATATCTAAAGACCTTGGTCTTTCCTCTCTTATTTTTTTTTCTTTTTAATATAAACTTCCTATATTTCAATAAATAAAACAAAAAAACCTATTCTCAAAATCAAAGGTAAGAACATTTTGTTAAAAAAAAGAACCCATAGAAAAAATATTCACCTTTCTTTTTTTAGATATTTAAGGCTCTAAAAAAAATTGGCATAAACTTTTGAAAATTTTTTTTTATCTTTCTTAAGTTTTCTTTTATTCTTTCAAGTATGTAAACTTTTTTTAAATTTTTTTAAGAAATTTTATCTATTTCAGTTTAACCTTGAATTTTTGGTTATACTGAAATTCTTGAATAATAATCAATTCAAATTTTGAACTGATTAATCTAGATATATCAAGAAATGTAAACAAGATATGTAATTTCCATATATTCTATCTTATATAACATAAAATCTGATAATGTTATTGAATACAGTATAAAAAGCAAAGCAACAAAATATTTTTTTTATTAAGAAGTATTATAATGTTTTTGAATAATGAATAAATTAAAAATTCCAAAATTTTTTGCACCATATTGTATATTGTTATTTTGTATATAAATTACTGTAAGCATATATTTTATTGTATTTTTTTTAAAAAAACAATAATACAAAATATTGTGTTACAAAAATCAAATTATTTTGCTAATTAAATTTTATTTGGTTAAAAAGGTTTTGACTTAAATAAAAAATTATATAGTATCAAAGATCAAAATTAAAAATATGGTCATGATATAATTTTTAATCACAATAATTTCTGGTAGCAGTTCAGATAAGTTTATAAAAAATAAGACAAAAAATATAATTTTTATTAAATTTGTATAATTAGAAAGAGAATTTTACTAGTCAATACAAATTAAGTAATTGGCAATTTTTTTATATAAATTCAAAAAAATTTCTTTATTAAAACTATTTCATTATACATTCACATGCTATATACAAATAAAAAAACATCAAGAAAGAATAAAAATATAAAGTTAGAGTTGATTACTTTTTTGGTAATCTCTTTAATGCGTAATTATCATGAAGCCATTTTAAGAACCATCATTAATTGCTTTTTTTTCCATAATAAAATAATTTTGTAACACAAAATTTTGTTCAAAAACTTTTTTTATGTACCGTATATATGTGCTATATGTATATGGAATATTCTGTATGTTGTCAAAAGTTGTAGATTATTAAAACATATGAAATAATATAATCATGATTAAATCATTTGAAGATTTTATAATTGGTCAATAACTTAATAATTCATATTGCGTCTATATGGAATATTAATAGCAAATATCTTTGCTTACTTAATTATCCTTAAATAAACATTTTTTAATATTCATTTAGAAATAAAAAAAAGTTTTTATTTTTATTTTTTAGATTTATATTCTTTTTAATCTATGTTTCACCTCATACTAATACTTTGATTCTTTCATCCTTTCACCAAATTATATCAATCGTAGCAAGAGAAAGCGTTACTAAAATTTTTATTGTTAAATCCAAAATTTATTTCCATCGGCTCTATGAACTCAAAACATCACACAACATTCAGCCTCTGGTGGCAAGCATTGCAAATACCCAATATTGTTCATTATTTCATTAGTATTAGAAGTATAAGAGATTTAAGGTAAAAAAAAAAAGGTACAACTTATTCTAAAAGAATATGCTGATAATCGATCAATAAATTGCTTCTCATCTAATTTTACTAAATTTTCTTACAATAATCAGCTTTTAACGAGTATTCATTTGAATGTTAAATCATTAATTCCGTCCTTGATCCCTTCAGCGATATTCAATAAAAAATTTTCGCTTTCCTTCTAAGAGGTTCGATTACATCTCCAGATACGCATATAGTTTTATCTCCTATCCATTTGCCTAACCTATTCCCTTCTTCTATTACGAACTGTTTAATTACTGCTAGTGCCAAACTTCGGTCCATCGTACACCTTACAATGTGGTTTTCATCGTTTCTTTTTTTAATAAAAAATATATCCCAAAAGTCATTGCAGTCCGTCAGAACAACCAGTGGATTTAGTGCGGAATTATTATCTAATAATAATAACTCTCCAATGGCTTGGGCTTTAATACACCTTGCCATGGATTTTCTGGCCTCAATCCAGATACAATATGTTCTTCTAGGACCGATAGCTATCTCACTGCCACCGGTTAAAATAACATTTGCACTTTTTATTTCTCGTTGATGATATACATCCGTATGAATATCCCAAACATTGAATCCCCGTGGCAATTTTAGCGCGTCATTAAACCATCTCACAACTTCTTCCATTTGTTGAGCCTCGGCCTCCACGCCCCATTCGAATGATGGGTATTGAATGTAATAAAATTTTTCAAAGTCTTCTTTTGCAATCTAGGTAAGATGAAATGCAAATTTAATTTTTTGACAAAAAATATTGAAATATCTTGATATGTGCTGTCTAAAAATAGTATTTACTGTTGTTTGCTTCACTCCAATTCTGTTTAAAATCTCTCCTATTCTTTTTTCAGATAGATTTGATACTGAAACCTTGTCAAAAAATTTTAGCTGGGCGACGGTTTTCTCCATCTTCACAACTTTTTCCATCATTAATTCTAATTGTCCTATTAATGCATCATTGCTTTCATGCTTTCGTGAGTCTGGTAGAAAGCAAAAGAAAGGTTATATAAATTATTTTATTCGTTATTGACATCTCTAACACTTAGACTTGAACACGAACCAGGCACGTTTACTATGACTTGTAAGGGCGTGCTTGATTTATTCACAAAGCTCCGGTCCACTACAAGCTCGGGATTTAGATCTTTTTTTTCACCATGTCTTCTTAAAGTAATGCGGTTAATAGCCACGTCGTCTAAATCAGGTGATAGTTTCTTCTTGATCACTTCTGCCAAGTCATCCACATTCTCTCCATCAAAAAGAAGTCTAAATGGTCGAGTATCATCGCCATACTTGATCCACATTTTGAAGTTTTCTTTTATAGGGCGAATATTCATTCTTGTTTTTATTTTTGTTTGGTGGAATTTTACGTGATTATATGTACGCATTTATAGCCAATCAAATGAAAATCTAACCCGTGATTATGGTATACACATGACATTGATAATCAAATTGTAATCGTGATTTCCCACGCGATCCTATATGGGGTATCGTGATGAAGATAATTGGGATAATCGCTTTCATTAAATAAAGGCAGCAAGTGTGCTCATTTACGAATAAACTTTTATTTGTATGAAATCCATTTTCCCAGTGTTATATTTTTCGTTTCTCATGTGATCACGTGACCTACAGACGAAGATCGGTCAAATTCAAGAACGATAGCTAAATAGTACAAAGTGGACCTACTTAGCTGTTGTGTGCCGTGACCAGACCTGCATGCAATCGACAGACTCACTGTATCCCACCGTTACAATATATTAAATTTCATTTATTCATTTAATCATGATAAATTTAATTATCTAGAGTATGTTAAACCATTTCTTATAAAATTTAAATAATTCTGTCTTGCTGGTTGGTAAAATATTATGCTTATGGATCTAGTGCTTTAGCCTATTCAAAAATGCTCAATGGAATTGATATATGAACTTAGGCAGGTCATGGAAAACAATGAATGTTTTTTTACATTCAATTATGTAACAAATCTATAGACGCCCAGCAAAAATCCTGATTTTCTTCGAAAAGTCAGATGACAACCTCTCAAACAATCTTA